GGTGGGGGGCGGCACCGCCCCGGCCCCTCGGGAGCCCCGCGGGGTCTCCCGTGGGCGTGGGGGTCCACCCCAGCTCCGGGGGGCGCCCCACAGCCCCCGGGGTGCCCTTTGGGGTCCCCCACAGCCTTCGGGGGTCCTCTATAGCCCTTCAGGGTCCCCTATAGCCCTCGAGGTCCTCCACAACCCTTCAGGACCCCCCCCAATAGCAGTAGGGGTTCCCTATAACTCTTGGGGGTTCCCCCTGGCCCTGGTGGCCTCCATGGCCCTTGAGAGTCCCCGATCATCTTTGCTATGGCCCTCGGGGTCCCCCTATAGCCCTCGATGTCCCCCATGGTTCTTGAGGGTCCCCAATAATCTTTGCAGTCACCTACAGCCCTCAGGGCCCCCCTATAGCCCTTAATATCCCCCATGGCACTTGAGGGTCCCCCACAGCCCTTGTGGGCCCCCCCATAAACCTTGGGGTCCCCTATTAACCCTTGAGGGTCCCCAATGCCTTGGGGTTGTGTAAACCTCGAGGGCCCCCGAGGGTTCCTCCTGGCCCTTGAGTGTCCGCTATAATCCTTGGGGTCCCTCGTAGCCCTCAAGGGTCCCCTATAACCCTTGAGGGTCCCCCATAGCTCTTGAGGGCCCCCCTTGCCCTGGAGGGTCCTCCATGTCCCTTGGGGTCCCCCACAGCCCTTTAGGGTCCCCTATAACCCTTGGGGTCCTCCATAACCCTTGAGGTTCCCCGTAGCCCTAGAGGGTCTCCTATAACCCTTGAGGGTCCCCCATGTCCTTAGAGGGCTCCTCCTAGCCCTGGAGGGTTCTCTATGTCCCTAGAGGTCCCCCATTGCGCTTGAGGGCCCCCCTAGCTCTGGAGGGTCTCCCGTGTCCCTTGAGGATCCCCCATAGCCCTTGAAGGCCCTCCCTTGCCCTGGAGGGTCCCTCGTGTCCCTTGAGGATCCCCCATAGCCCTTGAAGGCCCTCCCTTGCCCTGGAGGGTCCCTCGTGTCCCTTGAGGATCCCCCATAGCCCTTGAAGGCCCTCCCTTGCCCTGGAGGGTCCCTCGTGTCCCTTGAGGATCCCCCATAGCCCTTGAAGGTCCCCTATAACCCCCTTGGGGTCCTCCATCACCCCTGAGGTCCTCCATAGCCCTAGAGAACCCCCTTGAGCACCCCCCCCGGCCCATGAGGGTCCCCTCTGTAGCCCTTGAGGTGCCCCCCCAGCCCTGGAGGATCCTCTGTCACCCTCGCGTTCTCCCGGGTGCTCCACGGAGGCAGCGGCAGT